AGAAAAATAAAGTAAAATTGAGCATGCAAGAATGCAAGTGTAAACTAGTATAAATGTATACATTCATGAGACATTTTAAAGGCCTACTTTAACATATGAGAAGTGCAGTAAAAAGTATCTTCCCTTGAAATGTCGTGGACTGCAGGAGCATCAAACACTTCACATAAAGTAGAACTGCCTCAGACCTGCAGAGTACTCGAGTGAACGTACGTAGTGTTTTTCCACCTCTGCTTTTCAGAAACCTCAGCAAATGGATTCTGATCACAAAAGCACCAACACAAAGTATCTGACACTATGAAAAGTAGAAGAGAGTCTAAATAATAAATGCGGCTGTGGTTTACGATCCTCTCCGTCTTAGAGATCCACCTTGTTGGGTTCTCCAGTGACCTTCAGCACCTTCTCGTCTTGTTCTCAAACTTAGAGCTGCAGTCAAACTATGTGAAGCGTACGACTTTTGGTCAGTAACTGTGGCTCTGAACGAACCTTTATAGGTTCTCAGGTTGTTTCATCAGTTACAGCTCAGGTTGATCTTTGTCTCTTCACTTTGGAACTTTTTATTCTTGTCTTGATCTTTGGCTAACTTACAAAGTTATGTTTCATGCATTTAACCTTCAATTGTTTACAACCTCTTAAAAATGTCCACATTGAAGGATCCATCCATCCATTATTTAATCCTCACTAGGGTCACGGGGGGCTGGAGTCTATCCCAGCTGACTCAGGGTGAAGGCAGGTTCACCTGGACAGGTAACCAGTCTATCACAGGACTACACTTAGAGACAGACAACCAAGAACACTCACATTCACACCTACGGACAATTTACAATCACCAATTAAGCTCAACATGTTTTTGGACCGTGTGGGAGGAAGCCAGAACCCGGAGAGAACCCACGCTGCACGGGGAGAACATGGAGACTCCACGCAGAAAGATCCCGGGTGTCCTCACCGGGTCGTAAACCGGCGACCTTCTTGCTGCGAGGCAACGGTGCTAACCACCGATTGTCGGTTTGCGTCTCAGTGAGGATCCATCCATCCATCAATCAATGGATGGATGGATGATTTGCTACCAACAGCACCACCTTTGAAGGTTTGTTCTTCTTCGTGAAGCAAAACAAGAGCGAGGATCTAAATGCCAGGCGTCTTTGAATACTTACCACCAGCGCTAGAAGTACATAATGAGTCTGAGCAACAGAAGCATGATATAATCTTTTATTTTAACCCATGGGATTTAACTTTTACAGTGCATTTCTTTACAACAATTATTCATTAAGTGACAGGTTTTAGCCACCACTACGGATCAGATAACTATGTATGTTACATTTCTGAGCTCCTCTTAAAAGATTTCGACTTCATTAACACCGTGCAAAAAATCCCAAATGTTAAACGATGGATAACTGTAAAGGTCGACTAATTCAGTGATATCTCGTCATCGGTTCACGTGGTTAGCCTCGTTACCAAGCAACCACCTGTTAATCTTTAGTCGTCTCAGTGTTGTTAAGCAGCTAACTATCCGTACCGTTATAACATACAGAGAGGTGGCCAATTAGAAACCTGCTGCCGTCCATAAGAAAGAAAAAGGCTTCAAAAATAGACAAAACAAAATATGGCACTATTGTCTCAAGGAACAACCAGTAGACACAAACACATTGTTTTTTAAAAGGGGACCCCCCCCCCCCGAACAGAACAAAAACTCCAATCACTCTGTTCAGTCTTTGCCCGAGCAGTCCGTACTGCCGGTCAACAATCTGAGGAGGAGTCGTCAGTCAGATGGACATCAAGCTTTATGTGGACACGAAGCCGCTCGATCACAAGAATGTCAGCAGAAACCTGTAGGAGATCCCCCTCAGTCACATCACAGACACCAACAGTACTTTCGAAAAACTTTTTTTTTTTTCTCCCATCAGAAGACTTCACAGAAACCTGCCCTCTCCAGACCTCATTCTGTCCTCTTCATCCGATCACATCAAGCACACGTTGCCACAAAACAAACACGCAGCGTTGCATCAGTGTGTCCGAACACAGCCCCCACAACGTCTAATGTCGCAACATGGCTATACTGGAGAAAAGCATTGATAAAGACAGAACCACATTGACTGTGCATATACAGAATTTCGAGAACACATTGCAGCAATGAACATATATACGACCCACCAAATGCACGTGAACATAAACTCGATCCAGTTACCCCATTACATGTTACATTCAGGCTCCAAGAAATAAAGATGCAATGGCAAAGTAAACAGCAGATTTCTCCCTTTTGCTCAAGTTTGGTCTCAAATTCCCTCAAATACACGACAGCTAGTAGTGCACAAAATAAGAATACAAAATTAGACTTTTAAATACTGTAGCAGCAATTCTTTTTCTTTTAAAGTTGAAAGCCTCCAGTAGTACAGGTAAAGGCTTTGGAGTCCCCGACACGTGGAAGGGTGAGCGATTGTCCTCTGAAGTGCGAGACGTGTCTGTCAGGAGGGTGCAGGTGTTTGGTACTAAAGGTGAGTGGACAGGTTGGACATGTGTCTCGGACAGGGCACCTCTAGAGGACTGAGCCGTGTGGAGGCAGCAGGACGCTGCAGCGCTCCCGGCTGACAAATGTCTTTGCAGAGGAGGGGTTTGTTCTGTAGAAACCCCCCCACCAACCATCACCAACACCTGCTAACGTGCCTCGAACTCAGACTATCCCTTTCCCAGTCTCTGCGCATCTCCGTTTTAAAACCGAGCCTCCCAAAGGGTAACAATTCCTCCTCATCCCCAGCCCCCGCAGCCAAAACTACAGCAGGTCGGGTTTACAACGAGGCGCTCGGCTCATCAGTCCGAAACAAGCAGGACAGAGCCGATGCGGGCCACGCTATGCTGCGCTTCTCTCAACTGGAGGCTGTAGCGATGGCCTTCTTAAGCTGCTGGCTGCGGATCTCGCGGGTGCGGGACTCCAGCAGCAAGTCGTAACAGGAGTTGCAGACCAACACCGGGTCGTACAGCTGCTGGTCGGGGATGGGCAGCTTCAGATGACAACAGTCTTTACAGAAAACATTACCACAGTTCCTGGAAAGAGAGCACACACAAGGATGACATCAGTAATGCACTTTATTAAACCTAAAAGGAAATGTACAGCAGAAAGAAAGACAGTATACACTATAATATGTGAATAAATGCATGATGAGAAGCTACTGGTTAAAGTTCTAGTAAATAACAACGGTTCTGCTCGTTTTAACCATCAGCCTGGACCAAAACATCGAGACTTCAAGATCTGAAGTGCAGGAATGTAATTATTCAACTTCATACAACTGCACCAGTAAAGTTTTCGGTGTGTTTTTTTAAGCTGCGTGGTGGTGATCTACATGAAACATCAAACCAAATCAAAAGAACTTAACTCTAAGTGAATTGGGAGTGAAATATTTCAGACATTTTAAAAACCAAATCTATGACTTTTCAAAACCAAAACCTTTAGATTTGTTACATTTTAGGACCTGAAATGTTTGCTGCACTGAAGCAGAGCCAGAACGCCAGCTGGAAAATCTAGAAAAGGCAACTTGTGTGTTTAACAGTGAATTAATTTGTGCAGGACCAATCAGACATGCATCAAACACTGACTGGTAACCTGCTGTGAGAATATATCTAACAGGTACCTATTTGTACTGTAGCACACATTTTCTGCTGCTCTGTCTGTGAATAAACACAATCTTTTATGCAAGTTTTCTCACTTTCTCGATGGATAATAGTCTAGTATAGTATAGTATCGTATCAATAATTCTCCAACAAGCCCGAAGCCTTTGATTCTGTAACCATGGTTGAAACCAAAGTTTGGGTTATTGCCTGAACAAAACCAAGCAAAGTGTGTGTTTCCACTGCAGGCTGCTGCTTTGGCAGAATAACGCTGCAACAAAGAGTGCTGACTGAATGATGGACACACCAAAACAACAGCCAGAGGAAAAATTAAAATCTCTCCTGGACCACTGATTATTAGATCCTAACAGTAAAATTAATGATGCACAAACCTGGATGTTGTTAAACCTCATCTTGAAGCTAAAGAAAGTATAAGAAGATATTAAAACCTCATTTCTGACATGCCTGGTTCAATGTTTTGGAAATTTCCCTTCTTTTTTTTTTCTCTAATTGACAGTTTGATGAACAGATTAATATTGTATTTTAAAATATGAAGCTAGAGCTGGTTAGCTTAGCACAAAGAGTAAAAACACAGGAAAGCAGTGAGGATGACTTCATCTAGAGGTAATAAAATCTGCCCACTGGCACCTCTAAAACTCACTGAGCCAGACCAAGAAAAAACCCTGCCAAGAAAAGGGCACGATGGTTTTACGTTTCCAGCTTTTGTGTTAAGTTCGGTTAACAGGCTGCTGGCTGAAGCTTCACTTTAACTGCACGGACATAAAAGTAATGTCAGTGTTCTCCTCTTACTCTTAGGTAGGAAGGAAACAAAAATATCTGCTTAAATGTGAAACGTTTGTGTGGTATTTCTTTAAAAAGAGAGACTAAAGGAGTTGTAGTGAGAGATTTGCTTCAGTTGATCATTTGACAGAATTTTATTCAGTGAGAATTTTGATAATTAACAGGATTTAATCATCAAAACTGTGCAGGTTACAGATTCCTGAATGGCTCTCTGCATTTCATATTCTTGTAAAATGAAAAGACTTCTTTAACTTGTTGGTGATAAAGAAACTATATTTTCTTTTAGTTATTTCGGGTAGCGGTGACCGATAACGTTTTAGAAACTATTTATGGATAAATAGAAAAAAATGAATCAGAGTAGGAGGAAACATGTCGACCATCTGCTTCGTCTCCTTTGTGATGGCCTGAATGAAATCTCCCAGACTTCCAACTCATTGGGAAAAAAAAGTTCAATCCCCATATTATGAGGGGGTGTTTTTTTTTTGTGAAAGGATTGGAGATGTTGTATCTCCTACTCTGGTTCCAGGTCTGCCTGTCTCTAATGGTGCATATTTACTCCAAAGCTGTCCAGACACTGTGTTTGTGATCAAACACCCAAGCTGCTTATCTATTATCTTTGTCATTTGTGAGGATGTGATATTTATAGACACAGAAACCGCAGTGAAGCCCCACCTGCAATGGTGACGTCTCTTGGCTATCCAGAACTCACAGTCACAGTTGAAACAATGGGAGGCCATATGGTCGGGCACCCACCTCGTGACCTACACACGCACACATGGACACATAGACACCCATCAGAACCCTGTGAGATAGCAAGAGGTGCTCCTGGTCATGCAGGTGAAAGGGAAGAAGGAGGAAGAGGAAGTGGAGACAGGAGCTATATTAGTAGCTCAGAAGGATGCTGACCTCTGTGTCCTTGGGCTCCACTCGATCCCAGCTGCCCTCTGACAGACGGTCCTCACTGTGGGTGGACAGAGAATCCTCTTCGTTGCTGTTGTCTGACTCCCGCAGACACGTCTGCATCAGAGAGAACAGGGTGAGACCAGAAGGCAGACGGGAATGAGAGAGCACTTGTGGAGATAATCTGGAGGAAATATTTATAAACTAACGCTGCAGACAGACAAAATGAAGCGTCATCCATAAAAAAGCTACTCACAATGTCATCCTCGTAGTCGATGTCTGGCTCTGAGGGAGGGGTGCCATACTGTTTGCTCTCCAGCCTCATCTGCAGCTGTCGCACCTGCTGCCGCAGCACCTCCACCTCCTGCTTGTAACCGGCCTCGATCTGTCGCAGTCTCTGCTGCACGGCATCCATTGGCACCGGCAGCCCGTCGTCATCGAGGTAGGCTGGGGCATGGGGCGGGGGAGGGGAGCTGGATGCAGAGGGTGAGGAATATGATGCCGGCAGAAGCTGATGGCCTGCCAGGGAGTAGCTGTTGAGGGCAGCGGCGGCGGGCCCACACAGACCGGGGTAACCTGCACTCCTGGCAGCAGACAGCCATCCAGGCTGCAGAGGGCTGCTGGGGCAACAGAGAGCCTCCCTGCGGCAGCACTGAGACCCACTGGGGATGGAGAAGCCCTGGGCACGGAGGAGTTTGCTGGCAAGCCGGCGGCTCTGGTAAGCGTTGGGCTGTAGGGCCCGGCTGATACCAGAATGGCTGGCACTGCTGCAGGCGGACTGAACCAGACCCTGGACACTCTCCCAGTGGGAGCCAAGCAGCGACAGGTCTGAGAGTTGGCTCTGGGAGATCAGATGGCGAGCGGTTACCTGGGTGCAGTCTACAGGAGCTGGTGCAACAGCCAACAAACGCTCTCTTCCTTTCATGACATCTGTTCTCGTGTCCTCTTTCTCCTTCTGGGGTTGAACTTGTGGCTGCAGCTCCGGCTGCTCCCCATCGCTTTTTTGATCCTGGCAAAGATCCTGGGTCACTGGGGAAGGCAAGACGGGGGGAACCTCTCCCTCACCTGTGAGAGTCTCAGTGGAGTCCTCCAGGGGAAGGAGGGGTGTTAGCTGCTTCAGAGCCAGCAGACTGGCAGATTCGGGGACGCTATTTTCCTGACCATCAGCATGTCCGTTAAGCAGCGAGGTGGGTGTGTTGGCTGCAGGTTGAGTGCTCTTGCAGGGCAGAGGTAAGCATGGCTCTGATTTATGAGTGGGTGACGTGGTGTTCTCAGCAGTCCTACAGGGGCTCTCCGCCTCCAGTGGAGGTGGTGGGAGTGGAGGGTTTGTGATCTGAGGCAAAGCTTGTTGGAGGACAGGAGTGGAAAAGGCAGTGTGAGCGACTGTGACGTCCTTAGTGACGGGGACCGGGGGAAGGGGCAGAGAGGGCAGAGGCTGTGTGGTAAGACACAACTCCTCCAGTGTGTCGTCAGACGACTCTTCACCTGGAACACCCTCTGGTGTCTTGGCAGGACTCTGGTGTACAGACTGCTGCTCAGCACTGTCCAATCCAGTGTCAGATGTGGCCTCGTCAGAGCTGTCTGCAGACAGTTCCTCCACTGCAGGTGAGGGCTCCAGTGCAGGGCGACCCTCCTGGCAGTGCTTATTGAGATTGGGGTCGCTGGACGTACGCGTTAGGGGCACCCCGTTCTCAAAAGCTGACAGCAGGTTGTCCATGGAGCGGGTCTTGGGAAGTCTGGAAATCAGAAAGATTGTGTTTTCTAGATGTGCAGCAATAGCAAAGACACAATTCTCCATTTGGAACTCTAGAGGGCAGCCTGACTCTCTATAAAAGTAATCAGATTAGTATCAAACATGTTACCTGTCCAGGGAACGAGAGGTGAGCTCGTCCCCTGTGACGCATGGGGGGAGGTAGAGCTCCACAGAATCATCCACAGCAGTGCAGGGAGAGGAGGTGGGCAGGTAGACAGCTGTCCACAGCTGTAGCGCCCGAGTATGGCAGACTGGCTGCAGCACCTGGCAGACAAACAAGTGACAAGGACAATCCCAGAAGGTCAATATATAGTCACGACAGTGTCTACTACCGTCTCAGTGCTGTGTATCATGATCACAGGATTCTTTGTGAGCAGGGATCAAAGATGGCGGCAGAGAAAAGTAGGATAGATTTAATCCTGTGCTTTAAATCTTTTATCAAAAGGACAGTTTGGGAGTTAAAATTAGAGCCACGCTATCCATTAATCATTAATCAAACCACTTATTCTGCTCAGGATCTAGGAGAGCTACAGCTGGAGATTTGAAGATGTGTGCTACAGATCTAAAATACCAAGCAAGTCCTCTTATCCCTGACTAAGAGAAAGGCTCAGTGGCAAACAGCAGGAGGCAGCCTACGTATATGACCGTTTCTTTTAATGGTAGTTAATGACAAAAAAACCCCACAAATAATAGTGTGAAAACTGGAAGGTACCATATCATGACTGGGGATGTAGAGGAAGTTCTGGAAGTTTTTGTTTCCTGTGCGAAGCAGGGACCAGACAGAGCAGGTGCGTTTGTAGATGTTCCTCGCCTCCCTCTCACGAGCATTGTTACACAGAAACGTGCCATAAAGACACGAGTATGTGTGCTGCACCAACTTGACCTGGACATGCGAGAAAAACACATCAAGTCAGGCCTTTTGCAAGAGCAATGATGTGCATAATAATCTGTGTGACAGCTGATTGATGTGAAACGCTGCCACTTGACATATGAATTAGTTCATCAAATGTCTCACACTTGGAGGTTTGACTGCTGAAACAGTCACGAGAAAATGCATACAATTATTATTAGAAAGACATAGATGTGCAGAGAGGGCTGTACAGCCAGCCACCCACCAGGAAGGCCTCATTGAACTCAAACAGGCAGGGGAACTGTTTGAGCAGCTGGTGAACACAGTCCAGCCACTGCAGGAAGACGGGACACTGCTCGCTCACATCGTCGGCGTTCTCCTGGTGGCCACAGCGGTCCCCAAACTTATGACCAAAGTCCAACCACTCAGTCTCCACAAGCACCTGGAAACCCTGTGGACGACACGGTAGTGAGGACTGAAGTAATGACAGAGTGAACCCCATGCCAAATCATGCATTTGTAAGAATGAGCCCGAAATGTGACTTAAAACCAAATACATGTTAAAAAAATGGCTAAAAAAAAAAAGACAAAACTGAACGGTGCACTCCTACCTCCAACGTTCTGTAGTAGGGGTCCAGCAGGATCTTGGAGAGAGCGACAATCTGGGGTGTGCGATCCCACCCATCTGAACAGTGTACCAGGACAGGACGGCCGTCCCGTTCCACCGCTGAACACACCAGAGTGGCGGCCTTCAGCATGACGGACAGATGCTGCAACCACCGCGTGCTCTCGAGTGCTGAAAGCCAGCTGGAAACACAAGACGGGGCGGCTTAGACAACCACTAAACTATGAGGAAATACGTAACAATTGATGTGATCTGAAGCCTACAAACTGTATAATTACATCAGCTTGGGTAACTCCTGGTTTACTTGGTCCAGGATTTTAGGGTTAAGTGCAGGGAGGCTCTGACCTATTTCTGTGGAGGCCTCTCAGCGTCATTACACACCTCCATTAGAATAACAACAGGCCTTAAAATAACACGTGACGTAACAACAGCTGGGTTAACCTTTGAACCGTGCATATAACCCTAAATGCAGCAGACACACAGTGACAGAACACGCACAGCTGGCCCTGGAAAACATGTAAACAAGAGAACAAAGGGACACCCGTAACACACGTATGCGCTGTTGATGTGTACAGCAGACAGACAGCTGGCCAGCCCAGCAGGAAAGGGACTGGACCGTGGCAGCGTTCCCATCTCTGTCTGGTGTTGCCTTACTGTGGGGTGAAGCCATTAAAACAGGGGAGGGGGAGGGAGGTGCAAACGAGGGCAGAGAGAAAGGTCAAACTGATCGACTTACTTTCCTGGATCCGGAATCTGACTGCAGACGGCCCTGAGAGCGTGGAAGCTGTTCCGGATGGCGTGAATGTTGGCCATTCCCATGAACATCACCTCGCAGTTGGGGTAGTACTCTAAATACAATAAAATGAAAAGCTCTGATTAAGGTCGTAAGACATAAACAAGGCTTTGCTTGATGCTGAAGTATCTTGCAATCTTTAGATAAATCACTTAGAGGTGCTGCCAACTTTAAAAGTGAGTGTGTGCAGCCACTGGTAGCCGTAATCATTTCCACCTGTCAGACTGGACTGTTACACCGAGTGCATATGCAAAGCAGAGAGAAAGGCCATTGTTTCCAGTCTGCAAAGCAACACTTTTTAAACAGATGTGTGATAAAAAAAGCTGCACAAACCAATGAATGTTTGAAGCCAACTTCACTGAACTCTAAACAGGCTGGTTTCTAAAAGTACTGGCGCTGACCAGAGTGTAAATGTTTGCAGGTGCTTCAAGTAATGCAAAAAAATATCTACTGACCCAGAGTTGTAAGCTTTACGCTATTATCACATCAGAACATTTTGCATTGCTTCTGTCCCTTTGGTCAAAGGATTCAGTTCAAAACACAGTGTGGTACACTATCACCGTATACAGTTATTACGGTAAACGTGTTAACAAATAGCTGCCAGACTGCACATGAAGTGACATGAGCCTTTTTCATTGTGTTTATGAAATGAATGAATGAAAAATACTTTATTCATCCCAGAAGGGAAATTCAATTTCATAAAGTTTATGGTATCAATCAAATACTTTTTTCCCTTTAGGTACAGTTCAGTCTCCCTCAGCTGAGAAGAACGTGTGTTGCAGCTATTTCAAACAATAGACAGACGCACTGAACCAAAGGAGTGCAAGGTTTCTAACACTGAACACCAAGACGATGTAGTCCCTTTAAGTCCATTTATTTTTCATCAAAACTGAACATTACACGTCCACGTTGTCCACAGGTAGAAAATCTGTGAGCTCCCACACCTGTAGCTCATTCAAACAAGATAACAGTGTCACAGGCGTCCTTATAAGGGGAGGATCTCACCTTTACCTAATAAAATAACACTTTTAAATTGCTTTATCAACTAAACTTTGTCTTAAATCAGTATTTATATTTTTACCATTAGATTTTACTCTTTGCTTTTAACACAGGAAATTTCTATATTTTTAACTAAAATAATATTTAAAGTTTTTGACTTTTTTACCTTGGTAATTGTTGTATTCATTTAAATTATTTTAGCTTGTCTATCTTAAGTTCTGTTTCCTATTACTTTATTATATGTTTTTATTATGAAGCACTTTGTTTTGAAAGGCGCTACGTGAGTATTATTATTACACTTCTGGGTGTTTGTGGGTTCAGGGAAACATCTTCTGCACCCATGAAGACCTCTGCTTCTGGTTCAAATGTAAATCGATGAAACGCTCGATAAAGGGACGGGAGTTTGTTTGGGTCACTCTGAGCAACACCTTCCACATAAAAAATACAAAAAAGTGCTGCTTCCACTCTCAGTGAGTTTCCTCTATCTGATGACCAAAAAAGTGAAATCCACTGAATTATTCCGAATGTTTGATCACACCAACCTTCACATTCGCAGCCTCCCCCCTTGGCTCGGTTGGCCACTGCAGCAGTGTATGAGCGAGCATCCAGAATCAGCAGCTTCTGTGGCACGGTGTTGTCATCGCAGCCGGAGCCGCCCGTCAGAGAGGAGTCTGGGGAGACAGACGGGATGACACAGATAAGATTTTTATTGTTATGAGATGTAAGACACTGCTGTGTGAATTGACCTGCTGGGAAGAGGACGGAAAAGAAAATATGAAAGAAGCAGCAGGGAATCAGAGAAGTGCCGGGGACATGATTAACAGAAACTGACTCTATTTGTAACCAGCTGAAGAATCAATATCTCCTCCTGATGACACAACCACGGTGTTGCTGTGGGTAACGATCACAAGTCAAGAGGCCTGCTTTCAGCAGCTAGCACGGAGAAAGACAAGTAATTACTCCAACACTGAAATGGAACTACTTCTCTCTGCTCTTGCTCGGTGTTGAGCTGCCACTCACTTTCCTGCCTGTTATTGTGCACCCTGTTCCTCTGCCTGTAAATGTCTTAAAGCCCCTTTTGCCACTTTGCTTTCTGACATTGTAGCATCATCTTTGAAAATTAACAAATAAAAAATACGGAGGGAAAAAAAAAAAAAAAAGACAAAACCACATTTGAAAAAGATGCACCGACTTGTTTTTTTCGTATTAGCTGCTGACAGCTGTCCTAATTGGAGCCTCGTAGCCTTTCTGTAACACAGACTGATAATGATGCACTAACACTGATGGTTAATGCATGTGTTTCTTTTTAAAATGGCAGCACGTAAACCATGAAGGACCATAGATGTAATTTATGCTAATTAAATACTATTGTATAAGTAGGTGACAGTGTATTTGCTGAACAAGCCCTGTGTATGCAGGTGTAATTGAAAACTGTGTACTACCTGGTACTTATGTTTTGCATTATTGTCTCCTGGTCTATATTGGACGTAATGAAAATTAATTAGGCGCGTAAATAATGGAATTTATTTTCTTCCTGGTGAGTCACATATCACTGGCCTTAGTTTGAAAACCATTAAGAGCGTGTCAGTGCTGTAGCAGTGGATGCATGAGTCCGCATACATAAAATCCAACAACAAAGTTACCAAAATCGCTGTCGGAAGAGTCGGGAGCTTCGCCGCGCTGTCTGCAGGCTGGTGCAGACTTGGCTCCGGTGTCCATGTGACAGGCCTTAGCGATGGACGTCACCAGGTACTCATCATCTGTGTTCCTCCAGCCCCACCAGCTGATCTCTGGCTGGCTGCAACGGGCGATCACTGCCCCGTTCTTCAGGTGCCTGGAATTCAAGGTTAAAGAGTTCGTAAATAATAAACCAGACTGAAAAATTAAACTGAAACATGCTCTCGTGCAAGCTGGAGCTAACACATGATGCTACACGTCAGTAGATCTACCTGTAGACCACCACTGGGATCCTCTTCCAGGACCTGAAGGAAGCCACGCTCTCCAGCTCCTTGTCAGTGATCCATATTGGAACCAGAAGTTTCTGCGGGTAGCTGGAGCACAGCCTGGAGGAAGAACAGGAGGCAAGAGTTTATTAGAAGAAGACTAAATGTAGTTAATGGCTCCATTTACTTTTAATGCATTCCAGTAAGGAAAAACAAGGTGGAACAGAGCTTAAACCGGCTGCAAACACACAATCTCCAAAATGTTTTCAGGGTCACTGCAGCATCAATAACTCTCAGTTAGGGCTAAACCCCAATCACTATTTTGTCACTTGAAACGGATTCAGTCGTTCATTATGATGATTTAAATATTTGCACATATTATGCCTGGCTGGGAGAGACGTCATCATCGTGTCACCAGGCCTTTATTTCCTCTCTTTCAGAGCAGCGAACAGGGTACACAATATTTTGATAGCTGTTGTGCTGAAATCAGGCCGATCTCAACACTTTATGGTTGACTGCAGAAACTTAATCCCCTCTGTCAGCATGGACTCCACCGCGGCTGCTGCTACGTGTCGGCAATATTGCTTCTTACACACAAGAGTCGCTCACTTCCCGCAACAACCAACCTACGTCACACACAGATTACCCACAAGGCCACGTTCCCTAAAGGGAAAGGCACAGCCAGTAACAAGATTAGAAGTCCACCTCCGGGTTCAGCGTCTGCCATCAGTTACCCGCTAGTGCAGAGCGTGTTGTCATGTGGATATATGAACGCTCGACTCAGAAAGTCCAAGTCGACTCAGGGATCTTTGATTGATGCTTCAAAGCATCGACTTTCAGGTGGCAGCCCGACTCTCAGCTCTAGCTCCTGCCTCACTCCATCTGTCTCTGGTCTCCTCGTTCTCTCCCACGATACTTTCTTCAATTTTTATTCACTTGCTCCGAGAAGGGAGGGATACAGATTGTGTGTGTGTGTGGGTGAGGGAAAGTGAAATACTGTGCTGAGTCATGGGCCTCAGCAGGCTGCGGCTTGTTTAATTAGCCAGTTGTCCTGTGTGTCTGTCTCCCTCAGCAGGATGTGCTCTCCTGGGCCCTCCGAGCAGACTGACCTTTTTTTTGGTAGCGTTTATTTGCCCAGACAGCAAAGGAGACGATGATGTACACACACACTATTACCAGGTATATACACCGATCTGCCTCAATATTAAAACCACTGTTAGGTGAAGCGATGGCATTGCTCGACATTCTGCTGGAAAACTTTGCGTCCTGGCGTTCATATGGACGCTACTTTGACACGTACCACCCACATACACACTGTTGCAGACCACGTACGCCCACTGTGGGTGCCCACCCCAGCAGGACAATGCGTCTCACCACGTGGCAAATAACTGCTCTGATAGAACTGCTCGAGGACCACAACAAAGAGTCAAAGGTGTCGACACGGCCTCCAAGGGGGGACCTCACAATATCAGGCAACTCGTCTTCTGCTTATGTGAGTGTTTCATTTTATTAATGTGTGTGTTACAGCTAGAATTGTTCTGCTAACCTGAGGGATCAGACAACAAAAAGGTGATGAAGTATTGACATGTGTATCCCCAGCGTCCTAGGACAGTAAAATTATAAAGCAAACAAAAAAAACTGACCATCAATGGAGTTTATGTTAAGTGTGTTCAGATTGGACTAAGATATGACTGAGTACTGGTATGAATTTTAATGCAAATCCACTAAGGGTTTCCTTTGACATTGCAGTATCCTTTACTCACATCTCTCTCTTTCTCTCTCAGCGGCTGCCTGACGAGGCTCGCCTCACAGTTTGAAAACCTCTGATCTGATCTGACTCCAGCTGCCGTCCTCGGCCAGCGAGCCACGAGTCTTTCAGAGCCGCGTTTAAAGTGCACTTTTGAAATCGACGTCTAACTTCACCGCTACCAGCCGAGAAGTAACTGTAATTCAGCACAATTTCAAAACTCCCAGTTCCCACCAGAGTTTTGACACTCAGTGCTGAGAGGTGCCAAAACACACACAAGCTGTTCCTCACACAATCTGTTCAGTTTGGCGACATTGTGGTGACAGTGTTTCTGGTCCTGCTTGATTCTAGCTCTCCTCTCTGCCACAGCTTGGAAAAAGCTCTTTTAAACTCTGCCACTCACCATTCACTTTCTGAACAGTCACTGTGACTCTGAAGTCGCAGTATTCTCATGTACTACTATTACTACATACAGTGCAGTTATCTGCCAGGACAGAAGAGCCCTGCTATTTATGGTAAAGTATCTGTGGCATACTTGTAGTTGCAGTTAATGTCGGACACTCTCCAGACGTTCTGTGTGTCGAAGCCCATCCTCTTGACCTCCATTTCCATTCTCTGACGCACGTGATCACCTACACACACACACACACAGAACATGGAGGGAGGGCACGAAGTGAGTAAAAAAGAAATTCCAAAGTTGCTCTTAAACTTTAGTGTGAAGTTGTAGTATCTGTGAACCTGGGCGACAGAGATGGACGTGCTGGTCTTCATCATCGGCGCTGCCTCCCAGACACCACGCATGATACGCCAGGGCGAACAGGTCCTCCAGCCGGGACGGGTGGGCAGTGGCCCGGTTCAGACGCTTGACCCACTCCTGGCACTGCTTGAACGTTGCAAAGTGGCATCTGTGGAGCACATAGAGGGACGATTAGTAAGATTCCACAACAAAATATCTCCTTACAACCTCATACATTGTAGATGAAGAGAAAAAAAAATAGTCATCAGATGTTGTGCGATTTTCCAGCCTGTGAGCAGCGTTAGTAATGTGGCTGCTTAATGATGAGGAACCAAGATGCCCCTGGCACATCTGCTGCCGAGTATCTGAAGACTCCACTGGTTTTGAACTTTACAGATGTCCATGATCAGACACAGATGAGAATTTCAGGCTGCTGAAAATAAAAGCAGGCCTTGTCCTTTTTCCTTTGAAACTCTCCGAGTATTATCTATTTATTTTCCATCTGTCTGTTCTGGGCAAATGACAAGGCAACAATCCCATCAAATAATTGCAATCACTAATAACAGCAGCTGCAAATCAATTCCTCTTATTTTTAGAGGAACTCCAGGAACAAACTGTTATTTTAATGTTATTTGGTATTTAGATGAGAAGGACGGCAGCACTGACTGGAGGAAAATGTCTCATTCACGTAACCAGTAATACAAAATAATATTTCTGTGACATTTGAAGTTATTAGATTTGAGCCCATTAAATAAAAAAATATGTAAAATACTTCAGAACAACTCCTACACTCAGCAACAAAATCCCAACATTCATAAAAGCATTCAAAGAAACGGCTTGAGTTATTCTGCTCGTTTCTGTGATATACCGACATTTGGACAGATTGTACATTAAGGCTGGAACTAACGATTTTTTACAGTGTCAAGTAATTTGGTAATTTTTATGATTGTTTTATAAAATTGTCTAAATTATTTTTGGCGAAACTGAAATATTTATTTTAAAAGCATATCAAAAAGCCTAACATTTCAGGATTAAGTTAGTATCTACTGATTGATTCATTGATGTAAAATAGCTGGTCATGTAGTCTGTCGTCCTGCCAACACATATTCATCCCAAAAGAAAAAAAAAGTTTCATCATAAACACACGCTGTTTAATGTCTGGCTTTCCAAACTCATTAGTAATGACAACTCTTGCTGTCTACCTAAGCATCAGAAGACTGTATTTTTACTCTACAGCTCACTTTACATAAGCTGGAATAACCCTGCTGAACTGTGAATACTAAAGACACAATCTCCATATTCACCAACGTTGTGAAATAATTCAGAAGGAAAGCACTAAAGACACCGCCGGAACCATGTTAACATAATTTTACGACCACAGTGAAGAGTTGTAACAGCTATTTGCACACGTGGAAATATTGATTAGTGGCTAAACAGGGCAAAGTGTGATCTCAATTGCTTCCTAAAGGCTCAACAGAATTGAACTATTACATTATTAATACAAAGTGCTGCTCTGTATTTACTTCACATATCATCAGCAGCATGAATCACGTTGCAGGGTTAATCTGTGTGCGAGCTGCTCTCCTTACCTGACAACTTTAGAGTCTTTGCAGATGATGTGCAGCTGGAACATGTCTCTGCACTCCACACTTTCTATCAGCCTGAGAGGCACCTGTAGGGGGAGACAGAGAGCAGGCACAATCAGTCTGATGGCCCGCTGTGGAGCAGACAGCATCTGCAGAGAAGTTACCACCCTCTGGTCTAGTACAGACTGAACCCAGGCTAGGCACAGTGCAGTCTCACTGTGGAACAGACGAAGACTCTTTCTAACTTTGTCTGTGATGCCAAACAACAGCTATGTTGTCTAGAGTGCCTTTGAAGCTTTAAGCGGTCCTGTAGACTGAAGTGTTAATGAAGCCGGCGCCAATATTTACAAAAATCACCCACGCAGCTTCACTTTTGGACAAGCCTTTATGCAACAGCGCTGCGTGCACCTTGTATGAGGAAGAAAACAACTACTTTGAATCATGGCAGAAATAGTGCTTGTTTATTTCATGAAGGTCAGCCCTGCATCACAATCATGTAGCAGGGTGCTTTCACAGAAAATTATAAATCCAGCATTACCACTCAGCTGCATGTAAATTAGAATGACTAAGCCGTCTAGACTGTGGCAGAGGGTGGTGTTTTATCATATGGTACTCACAGATATCTCATTGTCCACACCTGGGTAGGTCTATAACACAGTGACACCATGGAGCACACACACAGAGAGAGAAGGACGAGGGAAGACACAAGACAGGAGGAAATGGGAAAAACAAAAAAACTATTAAACCAAAAAACTTCAGGAGACAAAGGGAAATGAAGAGTTAAAGGAAAGAAAAACACCAAAGAGGCTGTAAGATGAAACATAACTGAGTGGATCACGCAGTGTGCTACTTGCAGCACATGACCAAGGCAAATGGAAATCATGGAGAGAAAGACAAACATAGACAGGAGCAAAGGGCAAGAAAACAGCTCAGAAGTAGGAGGGTGAGTTGTGAAGGGAGGTGTGGGTGAGAGGTTGTGGCTTGTTGGCATTCATACAGAGTTCATCTGCGCTGCTGGGGTCAAGGCAGGAGTCTGCCTAGTAGGAAATTAGCTCGATAAGGACTGCTAGCGGCTGACATTTGAACTCAGTTCGTTAATCTGGCTGTCCTCTGCTAAAGTAAGTCAAGGTGAAAGGCGTCACGAATGTCCCGGTGATCAGCCCTCACGTCCTCCTCCTTTCCAAAACACAGTCAACGTTTCCAGAAGCCGAATCCTTTTGGAAAAGATGACAAGGATTTGGGAAAAAGGAGGAATTTCACTGCCAATGAATGCAAACAATTGGACTGTTTGTGTTTGAGCAAGACCTGACGTCAGCAGGAGCAGGCTGGTGGACATTAGTGCCAGTGGGGGCCGGGCCTTTGGAGCCTGGATGTCACATTAAACCTCTCCCGTCTGACGATCAGAGGGCCCGCTAACCCTGTGGTACAATCCTGGTACGAACATTCTCAAACTGCACGCCAACTCTGCTGGAATACAACTGAAACCGCTTTACCCCATGCAAAATACTTGTAGGTTTATTTGCCTTGTTAGCACAATTATGTGTTTATAAAATTTATATGGGGGAAAGGGAAAAAGCACGTGTGCGTCCAAACTAAACACTATATCCTCCTCTCTCCTGCTATTGGTTTTTGTAGTGGCGTGGCATGGCAGCAGCAGTGATCACGCAGACACTTGTGCCATTGTGGTTCTTCAGTATGTTTATCGTCTGAGACGTGTACTCACGTTGATGACAGAGTCCTTGAACTTGATGTGCAGCCTGTAGTTAGAAATGGCAATGATGGCTTCATCGGCACGGCCAAGATATTCCACCCCTTCCCCCTGAAGAACTGGGTACGGCACCTGCAGAGACCCAAAACAACAAGATTGTTGAAGTCTGCTGTGCAAAAAAAACATTAGAGCAGCACCTGTTTGTTGAGCTTTATTGTGTCTACTGCGAGTCTAATCCTGACATCCTCATCTCTATTTTTAAAACTGTGCTCTCAGTGTTGTCCAAGCTTGTGCTAATTATCGATGATCTCCATACAAAACTCTAGTTAACAAGACAGTACAGTTACCCCAGCAGCTCTTTGACTCTGAACTTAGGACAGCAGCGCATTGAGTTAAACGCTAATGTCATCATGCTAATATGCTTACAATCACAGAGCTGACATGTATGCTAAGTATGCTAAGATTTGCTAACTAGCACTAAACACAGAGAACAGCTAAAGGTGTTGACATAGCTGTTAGTCGTAAACCAGAGTCTTAAATAAATTAAAATTTAGACTTGATGATGGCACCAGATTGAAAAGTCAGAAGGTCAGCCGAGTCAATGGGGTTTGTCATCTAATAACCGTGTATGATTCTTGTTTGTGCATCAGGTAGATGTTAAGAAACTTCCCTGAAACCAGCAACACTTTTGATAAGTCACACAATTACAAACAGCACAATGAGAGACTGTTTAAACAAACAAAAGTAGAATGTTATCAGTCTGGACCAAATTGTATTAAAACAAAATTAAACACATCATCACCATTCAAAAATCAGTGAACTTCCTTAAAGGGAAGAATCAAACTTATTATACCAGCATTAGTCTTGCATAGCTAGACCCATCTCCAGAGTGATGCGTCAGCGCTGGAGAATGATATGGCTGCACTTTATTATCATTCTGCAATAGAGGGAAAAACACTCTGGCTCGTTTGAATTTCTTTAAACCGATTACAATCGTCTGAGTCCACAATGCAGTGGCGTCGCTCAGCAAAATAGCGACGGAGGAATCGTTTTAGTGGAACATCCACAAGCAGGGAGGCGAGTCATTAAAATGGCTCGTTCACCTAAAGAACAAAGCAGGTCTGCCTTATTGCACAAGCTACATCTTCAGAGAAAGTACCAGTCTCAGCCTGTAGGTGAGGTTGTTGTTGTTGTTTCCTGTAGTGACGGGGATTTTGATAGTGGAGGGAGTGGAGAAAGCGGGAAAATGGTGGTCTTATACCTGAAGTCTACATTTGGTGAGTCAGACTAAACCGACATCGAAGCATCACATTTGCGCCGGTGTTTACATTTTTGAAGCAGTCGACATAGCAGACAGTTCACGCTCCCATCAACCGAGTGACATTAGTGATACGAGAAAAGAGGGACACGAGGAACAGCGTGCATGTGCAGCTGTCCAATTAGCACATAGTAGTTTTACAGAAGAACCTTTGTGAGTGCAGAGGGCTTGTTGGTGAGCCTGAATGAGCAGGCAGACAAGAGGCAGGGCTGGGAGGGAGACTGTCTGCACCAATGCTGACGGCACAGTGAGGGATCCCAAACTGTCCATTAACATTCTTACTTGTACCCATTTTATTACAGTCACGGCCAAGCCCTGGCTTTGGCTGCAACGAGACCCCTACATTAAGGTAATTGGTTCCCAACAGAGGTTAACAGAACATTTTTCATTTTATTCTGAGGCAGGGCATTATCTCTAAAAGCCAACCAAGTGGAAGAGACACATGGCTTCATTTGCCAACTTCTAAACCGTGTTCCAATTTATATAAAATCTGAAGCTTTTAACCCGTTTCAGAGTGATAAACGTCACACTTAGCGTGCTGGTAAATATTATTACAGTGTTTACTGGAGCTGCTTTTTCAAGGGAATTAAAAATGACTCACTGAAACTGTTAGATATTTTATGAATGCTGTTGACCAGAAAAAATTGAGTTCTAACATCACGTGCAGAGGATAAATCAGTTTCACTCACTGTCCATAAAACACTGTTTCTGGTTGAAAGTACAGCCTGTTGGTAACATGGGGGATTGTGTTACGCCCATTCATTCCTCACGTACATGACCTCCTCACCGTTTATTTTGCCGTAGTCATCACTTTGTGTGATTGCCACATCACGTTTTGGCTGCTCTAAACTAGTCATTGGGGACCACGAATTGCAACTCAGGTTTGTTTCATTGCTGGTAGTGAGGACAACAGTGTTGCTTAGAGACAACATTACCTCATTCTGCATTAGCATGCAGTGCTGAGTCACGCAGGAGGACTCACTAGTGCATGTTAAAAGAAGACATGCAGCAGCGCAGATGGGGATTATAGTAAGATGTCAGAAAAATCAGGCTTATATGAAACAGCATTAGTCACATAGAGCACACAAGCAGGATACGATTGATAGACCCATAAAACACAAGTTAACATCTACCCACACAACAGACCTTTGACCAGCTGAGCCAAAAACAGGCGATACATGTAATAAATGAAAATAAAACCCAACTATTTTTCATTTGTGTTCACAGGAATATCACAGAATATTAAGAGGTCAAAAGCCCTCGGTGCGTCAGATTGTTGTTGGTCTGGAGAGCTTAGGTTAAAAAACATTAAACCCCTGACATTTATTACTGCACCTGCTGTTTGTCTTTAACTCAAAATGTGCACGAGTCCAGACAGGAAGCATGATGACAGAAAAGAGTGCAGATTAACCTGGGAAATGGAGCACGTAGTACTCTGGACTCAGACACTGACAGAGCCAAATATAGGCAGCAATCCCCCTGGCACTGTGCAGCAGGACTTCAAAAATTGGAATATTTTAAATCCAACAGTCACATTTCACATGCATAGAAATATTTTAACTGAACCGTCTTTCTCTGGTACCCAAGCAGAGCTGAAAACTTGGAAGTTGCTGACTGAGAACAAAATCTGCAGATATAGTCTTGTAATGTAAAGATAGGACAGAAAAAGGGAAAGCCTTATCAATTTGAGTGCATGAGCGAGGTAATGTAGCCAAATTGCATTACATATTGCCTCAATAGCGGCAGAAATGGCTGAAATGAGAGCGTGCAGCTACCGAGTCTGTGTGCTTCTGTGCTGAGAAGTGCCCCAACACGTCCTGCTGAGACTGCCATAGTTAACGTGCTGCACAGACCGGGAGCTGCATTAAACAAGCTGTGCTCCAAAAGTAGGTGCATGAGTCACTGGCAGCCAGCAAGTGCAGCAGAAGATACTGTGTCACGTTTCCTCTACGAAGCCTTCAGCAGCAGAAATATAAAAGAGAGGGAGGGAGGGAGGGAGGGAGAGCGGGAGAGGGAGGGAGGGATAGAGAGTGAGCAGAAAGACCTGTGAATAACACTCTCTGACTTGTGAGTCGTGACTTCCGGTTCGAGCAGCCTGCCTGTCAGAACATGCGCGTGTGCAAATGCACACACAACTGCAAGCATGCAGCAGAGCTTGCATGCGCACGGGAGGAGAGGCAGCAGAGTATTAAATATGGTGGGGAAGGGAATGCCTGTAATGTGCCTGCGGGAAAGCTGTGGTAAGAGACATCAGCTGTCAGTGAAACTATCATGGGAGTGCCTGCACACTACAAAGAAAACACACAAGCAGAGACACTGCATGTATGAATGAAGGGGGATGGGAAGGAAGTATACGAGTGCAGAAAAAGAAAATGTTGCAATGAGGATAATTACAAAGTGCTCTCTGGTGCTTCAGATTAAAGGTACAGCGCACACTGCTCAGCTGGAAATAAATACATTTACTAAGACCTCTGACACACAAAGGCCTTTGAAGCGAAGCCCTTTAGTAATAAAAACACTTTTTGAAGAGGCTGATACTCCCTGCAGTTTAGTGCAAACCAAGTGGAAGCGTGCTTCAATTGAAAACCACAAAACGAAACAACAGATAGTGACCCGAGGCTGGGCAAATCCCTCCTCCCTCCACCTTCCCTTTGTCCGGTTCTCCAGACACATGATGCTCAGCTCCATTAAGCACCAGACAGCCAGAGAGCACAAACTCAACACCACAGAGGGCACAGCACAAGTTGCCCATCACAGTTTTGCTCTTGGCATCTTCACCATAGAGTAGATTTACAAATCCTTCTCACTGAGGGGACCTAAATGCTTTTAAGCCACCCTGTTTTTTTTTTAATCCTCTGCAGTGACTTCTGTTTTTTGTTTTTTTAGTAGAACAGCTTGGAATAGACCTCACGCAGGAAGTTAAGTTTAAAGACAGTAAAGTTTACTCTATACCGGAACAAGTTGATCTTTAAAGGATGAGGAAATTGTTGAATTTATAAAAGGTATTAATATTTACATTCATACCTGAAAAGTTGCAAAATAGCTGTTAGAACATGTCATAAAGCCAGTGAGGTATGAATAGCAGTGCTGTGTGAACACCACTACGGTTTCTGAGAAGCCTTCAGCCCTTTCATACACACAAAAGCTTTGTCAACATTTTCAACTTCCCCCTTTCAAAATTTGCCCTCTGTTCCTCTTAAGGCTTTGCATGAACACATTCCTTATCTTAATGTGAAAGGCTAATTTATAATCAATTTTCTAAATAAATACTGAAGAACATTTGTTGTTTTTTTTTTTTTTAGTAGAAGTATGACGCCTAATCTTGTGGAGTGTGGGTAGCAGCTGCATTCAAATGGAAATATATTTTGTTATCCACCAAGTTTCCTAATTAACTTTTTCCAGTGTTCAACACTGATAAAAGGGGGAAGAACAATTACAATGAAAAAATGCTCCTCTAGGCAACTGTCAACGTTTCTTCTTCAGCGTCTGCCCTCAGGTCGGCCAAATTGAGACTCCTGCAGTAACATCTTAGCAATCACAAGACATCACTCAGCAAACTACCAAGCCTCAGGTGGAGGGCGTTGCAGAGGAAACTCTGATGTCATATTATGGGCCACAATTAAGGTGATGTTATAATCTGGAAGTGTCACATTTGGTCTTTCTCACCAGCTCCCGGTTGTCTAATCCACAGACATGTTGCTGGGAATCTGAACAGATGGGTCTGTGCTGTAGATCAGTGTTTGTCAACGGTTGATGGAAACTGTTCAGCTCACCTGAAGGCTTTCATCTTCCTTCACCAGCTCCTTCTGGGGGAACAGGTCCTTGGCCTTGATGTACTCCAGACTGGGAGGCCCCTCTTCACCCTGCAGACACAAACACAATGTAGAGAGGGACAGATAAAGTCTTCTGTCAGTATTTAACATGAAACCACACATGAGGCCACTTATGAAAAACCAAATCAAAAGGAAAACACACAGTCAGAATGTATACAGTTTAATGACAGTAATATCTAACCACAGGAAAGGACACTGGAGGAGCCAGTCCAATCAAATCAAACCCAGAGTAAACATTGTCACTGTTCTTGTATTGAGCAGCTATCAGGGTGGTTAGCCTCTGATGTAAAATGCATGCCAGCTGGTATTTCACAATCTCCACCAGCTAACCCGCAGACATCACGTAGGAGATTAAAAATTGACTACGAGAGACCTAAGTTCACTTCAAATAAGAGGCACTCGACCTTGTGTGGACATTGAAAGTATTTTTTAAATGTTTGCTCTTCAATCTATAACAGCATTTTCCTGAAATAACAATAGTGAAGGAAGAATATGACTTTTGTTGATTTATATGGCTTTGGCGCTGTGCAGGTAGGCAGCAGATAGACAAACCCTGTAGACTTTGTGACTCGGTGTTATAGTGTTGTGCAAACAAACAGACTGGGACGCAGTTAAGACTTTCACACATGAACAGTTTTTCATGAGTCATGCACGGACTTTGTCTTCTTATGGAGTTATAATAAATAACTTATACACCTGATAATTTTGATCCCTAATAATTATGGATGTATGATCGGCTAAGATAATCATATAAACTACCGTAAACATTTCTGAGCTTGCTAAAAAATTAAACATCCAACTGCAGTTTTATCACACCTGTTCTAATGGATGGTGGGCTAAAATTAGACTGCAACACTTAAGGAAGCAGCAGAGACGAGAACAGGGTAAGAACAAAGGGGGCAGTCAACTCTGTCCTTGCAGCTTAGCGTGCCAGTGTCCCTCTCAGACAGAGCAAACAGTTTCATCAGGTCACACTTTAATCCATGGACAGAAAAGGGGAAAAGGTAATCACATGATGAAATAGAAGGACATGCCCGTGCCCTTCATCCTCGATTACCCATTTGTATAAAAAAAAAAAAAAAAAAAGACCTTAGGAGGTTTTGTCAATAATCAATTTTGCACTTTGTAATTTAAAGTGTACACATAAGCCCTTTTCAGACACGACATTGCCGGCTTCATCAATCTGGTAAAGTGTCGCCATTTTGTCATTCAAATATAGGTCACTTTTTCAATAATGTTCTTCAAGGCTTCACTGAGATGTACCGAGCACAGTGAGAGAGAGAGCCTCACACTAATGAACCGTTTGTCATATTGGACAGCACGTCAAGTGATGTACGATACTTAATAATTCATTAATAAACAAAAGGACTCGACCTAAACTAACAGCACGCTTATCAAACTGTCCAAATAAACAACAGCCTTGTTCATTTAGGATTTCCAGAACACTGACAAGTCTGTCCATGTGTGATGATAATCCAACTACTACTTTACTAACAAAAATAAAAAACATCCTGACAGCTGTGATGGAGCTCAGGACTCCACCAGATGATGAACCAAATGATTTAACTGCAGTTTAGAAATGGTGACTCTGTGTGACAACTGTCTGAAGTGAAGAGAAGTACACTGTCATTTACCATCAGATCCCCACTGATCCCATTCGGATGTCCTGGATAAAGCTACTTCGGTTGTTCCGTGTGTAAATGCACATAATTTTCTTATTTTGAAGATGCTCACACTGAACAGCTGCCGTCTGACACTGCAGGTATTTAATAAACTTAGAGCAGCTACAAACAGCTGGAAGCCACAAAATAAACATCAGCTCATCAGGTTACATTTAGTCTCATTCATGTGACCTGTTACAGACCTTTATTCGAGAACTTTTACTTTAATTGACATTTAAGTCTGCAATACATGTGAAATTGTAGAAGGTAAATGAGGAAGGTTTTTGTGATTTTGGCAGGACACTAACATCATCACATGTGTGTTCGTCTCACTCCTGTAGCGCCTGAGTTACCACAGCACTGGAACAAGAACCCAGTTTGGTTGCTGGCTGCCTAAACACTTCCACCTTTGCGACTCTGTTGGATTGGGCTTCTCCATCCGACTATGACCGTATGTCATTGGGTTTTCTTAATGAAAACAGAAATGGAGTCCTGACCGGGTGGCTAATTTCTATGGACTGTATCCACTGACTGTTTATGTGTCCCAAGACCAAAAAAAAACACAACAACATTACAAAATGTCATACAGTATAGCAGGGAACCCCCTGATGTCTGCTTCCTGCCATGTTTACAGTGATTACATCTGTCATCCAAAGGTCCAAGCTGGTAATTAAACCACACGATAAGAATACCACCCATTGGGCTGACTGGTGACAGATGGAGAGCCCTGTTTCCCTACAGTGACAACTCCTTCCTTATAAATCACCAATATGTCCCTGTCTGATTTCAAAGCCACAGACATCACAGAGTATAGGATTACACATAAAGCTGTATTATTTTTTAGCTTGTGTAACTGTTTCCTTCAAGCAATCCATTGGCACAACAACAACTTAAAACCTCATTTGACTATAAAGGACGGTCATTTCCTCTCCTAATTACAGTATTCTGTAAATGTCCCAATTTCAAACAATAAAATGAGTAAGATTCTCTCACCTCCCTCCTGCAATCAAGTCAAACAATAAGTCAGTCGATTATAACCAGGGGAAGACATTAGGAGGGAGTCTAAGAGGAACTGAAATGAATAAGTGGTCAATAGAAAATTACACAGCAATGACTCTGACAATCAGATAATCCAATTTTTTTTTTTTTTTTGAATACACGTTATTTCAGTTTTCAGCCCTTTGAATGTGAAGATGTGATACTTTTCTTTGGCATACATGATGGTATATGTAACATCTTTAGGTATTTTGGAGTGTGGTTCAAATGTAGGAATCTGAAGACATTTTACACACAACATTTAATTGATGCTTACTATAATATTGAAAATAATAGTTGGTTGCAGCCTAAGATCTTGGTCCATTGAGGACATGGAGCACGTGTGTCGACATTCAGAGGATTCTTTGGATGGTTTTTCTACTCCATTTGCGTCGATGGCTTATTATGGGTTTGGGAAATGTGTGTGTCGAGAGATTAACGTGATAAGTCACTACACAAAGCCGGCCAACCTGCTGTGTCTACACCATAACCTGTAATATATGGAGGTGATTGCAGTCACGGTGGTGTGTGTCAAGGCTGTTTCAAAAGGAAATATCTACACTGGCTAAAAGATGCTCCACTGCTAAGTGCTGCCTCACATTACTGTGGGCTCCATTTCCTCTAAATGATGCCTTGTCCATCTCCATATAAGACACACTCAAGGTGAGCATATGAGGGCTTCTCTGTAGCACAAAGCTGCGTCCCTTCAACGTATGTGTATCAAGAAGAACAGGAAAACCTCCAGTTCACGGATTATTCCAGGGTGATTAGTTCAAGGAGTCGACCAATTATCAGCCGGGCCGATTATCGAATCAAATGCTCGGTTTTTGCCCCAATAATCAGCATTGTTATTTTACTAACCAATTCCTGTTAAAACTAAATGAAAAGTGCTGTTTTGGTTCTGATGTCCATGCTTCTGTCTGTCTGTAGGCAACGCTCAAGCAATGTCTCTCCCACAGCATGATATGATTTCTTACATGTCAAGTAATAAGCTGCTGATGTTTAAGAAGAACAAAAAGTTCTCTTTTTCTTTAAGTTTGTGTCGTTCTAAAGTTTAACAACAAGAATTAAAATTTGACTGCAAATATATAAATCAGTTTCAGCTATCAGTTATTGATCTCCTTCATTACTAACACTATTAATCAATATAGGAATCAGTAGAAACATATTGGTCAACTTCTAATTTGTTCAACTTCTGGCCTTGTAGCTTCACCAGATAAATAGCCTGAGTTGCTACTTTTCTTGAGTTAACAAGAGAAAGTCAAACTGTGTACATCACCTTTAAAATGATTGGACTTGTATTAAATTTAATATTTTATTGGCGTGGTATTGCCAGATGGTTGTCTTGCAGGCTTGTTGCTAATCATTTATCATGCTTAATATCTGACTCAGAATTACAATCTGAAGGTTGGTGTGAATGTTTTTCTCCCCACATGGCTGCTAGTAATTATGATCTAAACGTTATCACATGATGTGTGCCATGCAATAAGAACAAATACTGAGCGTTACGCCAAATCTCATTGTAAAATCCTAACTTTAAAACTAAAACTGTGGTGGTTCTCTAAGAAAAAGATGCTGCAGTTGACCTCAAACTAGTCTGAACTCCTTCAAATCTCCCTGAAGAGTAGCCTCACTAATCTCTTGACCTTTGGCCTGCGTCGCCTTCAGCGTCAGACTTATGAGGCAGCTGTGCATCATCAGTTTTACTTATTTTCACCTGAGAATAGGTGGCTCATGGCAGTGGCCATCAGTCAGAGGCATCCTGGGAGGTTCAGGTCATTACTGGCTGGTCTCACACACTGTTGCCAGGCAGCCTGAACCACCAGACTGCCATCCAGGCACAGACCCATTTGCTATCGGAACAAAGTTTACTGTGGTGTGGCAGACTGCCGTCATAAATAACTGCAGATGCTACTATATACATAGAACCTCCCCCAAAGAAATTCAATGCCAATCAGTTAATAGAGGCAGCGCATCCAGTTTTTACACGCGCACACACACGTCCCACATCAATAGTCCATCCGGTCCCTTGCTTCGTATACATCTTGTGCTGCACTACCTGGTAGATACTTGGCACCATTTACTTAATTCTCCTATGGAGCAGCCCTGACATTGCATTCCTCTAAGAGCCCTGCTGGAACACAGTGTACTTCAGGACTTTAAAAAGGCAAAAATAGCCCACAAAGAGTTGTTTTTTGCTCCATAACAAAGAAAATACGACACTACAAACAGCTTACCTACCAAGTTATTATGATAGTTTAAAGAGACAACAGGAGAGAGACATTTCAGGTACAGACAGATGCACTGAACGGCATGGAAGCACAGACATTAGTG